AATTCCATGTATTTTTCATATGTTGACAAAAAAACAAACAAGAAATATAAAGATGAATCATATTCAATTACAATTTCAATCTTTTTTCAATAAACTACGACAGCAAACTTAGTATGCAAATGTTGATACTTCACTGCCGTCACCATCATCAGTGGTCGTTGTAATATGATTGGCAAGAATAAGCTTACAGTATTCTAGCAGATTTGAGGAGATAACGTTTTTAACAAACAGTTGAAGTATCAACATCAACAAGAATAATAGTAGCTTTGAGCCATACGACTTCTACTGGCGAACAAATTACCATCAATTAATTTTGATCAAATTAATTTTCCGCCTACAGATGCAAAAACCATTATATGTATTTAAATTTCCAAATAACTTTTTAATTTGTTTTTAAAATACATAGAAGTTTAAAGCAGCTGTCAGAAAACAATTCTAGCTTTCAAAAAAATATATGCATTGAAAATATTTGTACTTTTCAGAAAAAAATAAACTACTAACATAAATATTTGTAACGAGAAAATGGATTGTGAAACAACATCGACCAACAATCGCCTGAATTTGCCTGATTTTAGTAACAGTTGCCTATACATACAACAACACATTAACAGTGACCACTGTTGAACTGTTTTACTTATGAATCTCAAAATCGAATCTCCTCCTGAGGTAAAAAATTACGTAATGCCAACCTATAATCTTTTGTCTTCCCTCCTCCCTCTTCACCCCAGCAAAAAAAAAAAAAAATGCCGTCTACCCTCGCTATTTACGGCAATTAGATAAATCTAAAATTTGCAGTTAATGACAATAACTTGGTGCTAAAAAACCTCTACCATTCTTGGTCGCAGAATTGACGATTTGAAGTAAAAAAGTATGCATATAAGGAATGCTAAGGTAGTAATTCTAGCGAGTAATGCAAAGACTAGAAGAAAGATAGAAGAATGCTAATGTTAATCCTTTTATTTTCTTGGTGTTTATTTATATTCTTCACCAACAAAATAAAAAATGCTTATTTTTTCCTCATATAATACTACTAATTCACTTAGTTATCTGCCTAACCCTAAATTTACGCTGATGTAATAACAGTTTTGCTGTTGCCGTTGTTCGCTCTCGATCTTCCAAAACAAAAACATAAAAATCAAAAGTCGATAAGTGGTGTACAAAAAAAAAAAAGCTGTTCATAAAAAGTAGTCATTTTTTATCATTAAGAATTTGTAATTTTTATCTCTGTTAGTGCTTCACAATATTTACCGGCAAATTTAATAAGCTTTTTTTTTACTACAGTAACTGTAACATCAAAAAAACATCTGAGAGATTCCCATAAACGTATTAAAAATTACATAGTCACTGTACCATAAACAAAAATTATTCAAAATAAGTCATCAGCAGCGTACCTATATTAAGGTCTTTGCAAAAATTTCTCCTTTTTTTTTTTTTTTTTTTTTTTTTTTTTTTTTTTTTGTGTGGTTTAAAGTTCTCCGGTGTTTCTAATGTGACTATCTGAATAAAAACCGAAAGAACCTGCAAAGTACCAAAACTGGACGTAATTGCTGGTAGGCTCCTCACAAACTGTATTCACCGTTAGTAGTATTAAACGCTTATTAGTCAGCAGGTTCTATAAAATATGCCCTTCATTACTATTACTAAAAGTACACCTATAAAGTGATAAACGATAATGAAATTCTTGCACATAAACAATTTTTTGGATTTGGCAGTTACGCTACATACTGTACAAAACTTTGCATTTAAACCAACTTTTATTCTCATCATATCGCACATAATTAAAAGAAGACTCTTTTTTTCTTTTTTAACAATAGAAAAACAACAGTTTGCAGACCTGTAAAGAAATTCGGCTGTCAACCACATCACCTGACTGCTGTTGAGTCAATTTTCTTGTCCTTTCTATTTGAAATAAATGCTCAGCTGTTGTTGACAAAAATAATTTCCTTCTCTAAGTGTTCCATTAACAATTAAAAATTTTCATTCTAGTTAGCGATTCCAGTGATTAATCATTAATCATTAAGTAGCAGTGGTGGGATATTCCATCGTAAGACTCTTATCTTTTTTCTATAGTCAGGTAAACTGTTTTCGAGACGGAAAATACCAGTCAAAAACTACTAGACGAAGAAACTCGCCAACTGTCGTTCCAAGCGATCTCAGAAGTTTTAACCATACCTCCTCAACGCAAACTTTGAAGTTACAGTCTACATCTAAAAAATGCTAAACACATCAATAATAAGAAAAAAAAAAGGAGCAAGAAAAACTATGAAAAAAAAAAGAATTAACGAAAGAAACAAAAGAAACAAATCAGAGACCTCAAAAAAACCAATTATCACCTCGACCGTAGTAATATTTCCTGATCACACTTAAAAACCAAGATTATCACCCAAATTCATGAGAATCCCCGATTCGGTAACTAAAATAGGCATTAGAAGACAACGAATCTTCTAGTAACCACACTCTTCAGAACTTCAGGTTTATAAATGAGTCTACCCAGGCAGTTCAATTACGTTTGCTTGTCTCATTAACATCACTTTTGCATCCTGTAACTGCTATTTACAAAGCTAGGAATTATCAAATAATACACCAAAAAAACCTCCAACAAGCGTTCCTCCGCTATAATAATGGCAAAAAAATTCTTTATGCCTCATTTACGTCTCAAATTATATCAAGAAAATTCCCTTCTATCTGAATAAGTGGTAAGCACAACCGTTTCAAGCCCCTTTCTTTATTCATTCATAAAAAGAAAAAAGAAACATCAAACGGTTAACACAACCCTCAAAGTCACTTCAATTATTGGCGTTCCTCCAAATTTTACAAAACATATCTCTTAAAAGAGCAGTTTTTAAGTTAAAACTCGTTGACTTCCTCGTTCAATGCTCCTCTTTAGATTCACAGTTTTCATTGCATAGTCAATATTTGTTCTCGGCGAGAAACTTATAATTAGTTTTACAAATACCAGATGGCAGCAAAAAGAATATCAAGATGTTAGTGATGATCAAGTAAATGAATAACTAATAACCAATAGCCCCAGTTAATGTGTCGCTGCTGAAGGGTCTACATTTCAAAGGCAGAAAAAACATCATAACTAAGCCGTTCCAATTAGGTTAATTAGCAGCGATGCAGACATAACTACGACACTTAAAACCTCCTCTTTCTCAAACCTCTCCTCAAGAGTTTCCTTGAGAACTCAAAACTAAACAGACAACATTTTGTACCCTACATTGCATATCATTTAGACAGCTGTTAATTTTCTCGACCTTTAGCAATTATGACATCCAGGCGTTCTAGTTTTAGACATTAAGATTAAAGTTAAATAACTGGTAAATAAAGAACAACAATGAGCCAGGCTGGATCTCTTCTTACAGACTTCTGCAACCAATCAGATTCTTCCTGAATTTTGCGATTTTTTACATGCGACAACGGTTGTATTGGGGAACTTGGTGACCAACGGCCCAATAAAATGCATCAAGCAAGACTTAGAAATCTACCCAGGAGTTATAATTAATAACAAACGAGCGTGTAGCAAATAAACAATACCAAAAGGTTCAAATAAAAGATACACTAGGCCCTCAGGAAAAATTAAAAGTACCGTCTTTCATCGTATCATCCTTAAAACCGTCACCCAACTAGGCCGACTGTCCATCTACGCAGCTGAACAATCTTCACTCGTATCCGACGCTTCGTCCCCCTACGCTTGGTAGATAAAAAGCACCGCAGAACAACTCAACTTTGACAAGCACCCACAATGCCTCCAGAATGGAGAGTACTGAATTTCTTCATAAAACAATCCCGAAAATGGTTCAAAAACAGTGTTTATCTACGACCACTGTAGAGATAATACCTCACAAGCCCGTGCCTAATTCCGAAGAAAGAAACGAAAGACAAAAAAAAAAAAAAAAA